GTGTGTGTGTGTGTGTGTGTGTGTGTGTTCATCCTCATCCTCACAGGTGCAGTGAGATCACTTCCTCTATGCAGGGACTGTTTCCGCAGCAGCAGCCTTTTCCTGTCCCAGAGAGAAATAAGGAAACAAATCCTTATCCAGCAGAGGTCAGAGGTTTGGGGTCAGAAGAGTTTCTTTCCTCTGTGTAAGTCAATGGGATTTTTGTTCATTTTATCATACACCCATTGAAAATCATAAGTTTGATTACTTATTAAAGTACAACAAGCGGTGTGGGACGAGTTACATGCTAAAATCTAACAGTGTTGAGGTTATGAGCAATAGTGACACTGGCCTTAGCAGTCATCTCCAATTATGCATTATGAGTTGTACATGTCCTGTACACATTCCAAAACCATCCAAGCTTTTTGAAGTGATCTAAGCATGTAGAAATGACACACAGTCTCTGTGTTGAGCAATTGTGTAAAAGTGTGACATGTTGAAACAGAACTCAGCAGCCCTGTCATTTCCCATCTGATTCTGTGGAAATGTGTCATCTGGCACATAACGCGATGCCCTCTGGCTCTTGTCTTTATCGCTGTGTGTACATTCCTTCAGAGATCTTTCTCAAAGACACGCTTATCTGCAGATATTTAGGTTATCAACTGTCTGCTGGCTCCTTAGCATACCAAGTGTGTCTCTGTATTTTACCCTGACTCAGGCCAGTTGTGTTTGATAAATGTATATGACTGAGTGATATATTGAATGTTTTGTATTTTTTTATTTATTGATGTTTTGACTTAATGTTCATTATGTTTTAATAGCATCTTTAAACTTCAATACCAAAAATAGAGTTAGAGTCGGTCTTGTTTCAGTGAATCAATTGTCAGTTCAAATCAATGATTGACAGATTTGTTCACGTCATAATCAAAAACATTCAGGTTAATTAATGTATTAAAATATTTTATTAAAATAAATCTTTAAATAGGGAAATTTGAAATTCTGTATTGTTGTATTGGGTTATAAAATGTTATAATATTATGAAATATATAATTAAAAAATATTTATTTATTTGTTAAAATATTTGTTAAACTTATTTTTTACTCCTGAAAAATATTTATATCAAAATGCAGTAAATGGGTAATGAGTAAAAATTAAGTTAAAAATAATTATGTATATAGTATATAATATAACAAAATAAAAAAGTATAATATTATAAAATATATATAAAATATATTGTTCAACTTATTATTTACCCTTGAAGAAATATGTTGATAAAATGTTTCTTTGTGTTAATTACTGAACACTATATGTACAGTGTCTTGCAAAAATATTCATACCCCTTCATTTTTTTTTCACATTTTGTTAAGTTGCTGCTTTATGCTAAACTGCTTTGAATTACTTTTTTCCCACATCAATCTACACTCCATACACCATAATGGTAAAGCAAAAAACACGTTTTTAACATCTTTGCAAATTTATTAAAAAATAAAAAAATGATTCCATTGCATAAGTATTCTTATTCTATCTGGGACAGTTGAAATTTAGCTCAGGCGCATTCAAATTGCTTGTAGATGTTACTACACTTCAAGTGACGTTAACCTGTGGCAAATTCAATTGAATGGGTATGATCTGGAAAGGCACACACATCTTAATAAAAGGTCTAACAGCTGATAATGCATATCAGAGCAAAAAACAAGCCCTGAGGTCAAAAGAACTCCCTGTAGAGCTCAGAAACAGGTTTGTGTCAAGCCACACATCTGGGGAAGATTTCAGAAAAAAATCTGCTTCATTGAAGGGTCACAGAAGCATGTAGTCTCTGTTACCCTTA